TTTGTTGTTGCCAAATCTAGCCGGGTAAATACTACATACTATCTATGGGTCGTCCAAATCCTAACCAGCCGAATGAGACACAACCTCCGGTTCAACGTCCACCGGTTCAACCAACGGGTCACCAAAACAGTGGTACAATGCGTAAGCCGCAAAACGTACCGCCGGTTCAACCAACGGGTTACCAAAACAGTGGTACAATGCGTAAGCCGCAAAACGTACCGACAGGCATGCGCAGAGCGATCAATAACGCATCAACAGGCAGACCAGACAATAACCAATCACAGAATCTTTGGAGTTCTGACCTCTTCGACTGCATGAACGACAGTGAAAATGGTTAGACAATTTTTCAAAATAAAACAATAATCTTGATCAATACATAAATTTAAAACATTAATTATTTGGTTTTTTTGTTGTTGTGCATTGGATCAGCCGTTATTACATGTATAGCTCCATGTGTTACGTTTGGACAGATAGCTGAGATCACTGACGAAGGAGCAACCCGTAAGTCATTCATAATCATATAAACACACAAACATTTTTCATAAAAAAATCAATCATCCTAATTAATTTGTGTGTATGACGCAGCTTGTGCGACTGGTGGGTTGTTGTATGCAGTGATATTTGTATTCGGATTCTCGTTCGTCTACTCATGCATATTCCGCGAAAAGATGAGAAACAAATACGAGTTACCAGATGCCCCGGCTCCCGATTGGATCACTCACTTATTTTGTGAGCAATGTGCGCTTTGTCAAGAGTATCGTGAACTCAAGCACCGTGGTTTTGACCCCAATATTGGTAAATTCCATTCTCTCATTAATTTAATTTTTGATGATAATTTTTATAACCAATTTTACTTTAAATATTATGAAATAGGGTGGAATGGGAATGTGCAAGCACAACAACAAGAGATGATGGCTCCTCCGACTAGTCAACGGATGAGATGATATGAGTTCTTGTGTATTGTTCACAACATGGTTTTAAGAATGCTTTTTTTGTATGTTTGTTAGTAGAGTTTGATACTTTTATGGTCGAAAACAAATGTAAGGCACTGATTGTTCGTGGAAACCCATGAACAAACACGAGTGAATTTCTCGTAATTTCTTCCTATTTTCCGAAATATGCATAAGTTTCTTCAAGCTCTCAATCTACATATAGTGATCAAATCTAAATAAGATTATGGTTTGAATTTCTAAAAAGTAAACCTTTTTACAGCTTGGGTTTTCAGTTCATATTTTTTTAAAGTAAACATAGTCTCGGGGCCCTGCACCACCTATGGTAATAGGTAGAAGGAAGAAACATGTAATCCCTATAGACCACACCCGGTCCAAAGTTTGGGAGAATCCAGGACAAAAAAAAAATTTGAACCCTAACTACATAAAAAAAATATATATATTGGGTCTTTTAAAAAAAAAATTAACCTAAATTTTACCTAAAAAAAGGGGTCTGTGCACACCCTAACCACCCCTAGGGTCGGCCCTGCCTAAGACACATGCATCAGAAATCTGAAATGAACAAGAGTATATATATTTAAGACAAATTCTTAGAAACTTGGAAACCTACTTACTAGTTATAGTTTGCTGACAAAAAAAAAAGTTATAGTTTGCTGATAGTACGTGAGTGTTTGTACAACCAAACTTTGTTCCAAGTTTTTGTGAGGGAAAAAAAACACATGCATACGTTTTGATCTTATTAATATCGTGAAGGATTTTATAGATTGGGCATAAATTTGTGGGTGATTGCAAAATTAAAACTAAATTTCTTATATATAAAAAAAAAATTATTTATATAAACCAATGAACAATCTGATAAGATCTGAAATCGGTCTTATCTTGAGTCTTG